AAAAAAAAGTGAATTAGCTTAAAAAACAAATTTTCCGAGATATAGCAGCTTGTAAATTTTTAAAACCAGTTTTTTACCCATAAGTGGCTCTTTTGCTGATTGCTGATCGCGCTTCATCAGTGATTCAACTATGGAACTCTAATCAGTTTGTCTATAGTAGGCGCTGATAGTGCATTATCAGTTCTTGTCCAACATGATTCGTCTTGGGCTGGTTATAATTTGCCTTGCATTTTGTGCTCAAGTAGGTTTTTAACATGAAGGATTTTTCTGTCTGAGTAAATAATACGAGAATATATAAAACTGAAACTGTCCTGGCATTTTAAGAGAAGATTTTAGGCTGCATGGTTGAATCTACCCTCTATTGCGTTGAGAACATCAAGGCATCTGCTCTCTTTCGATAATCTTCCAGAGCCTATTGAAGTAGAGAAAAAGTTTCAGGATGATGACGAGGGTCTACTTGAAGAGGTAATAATATTAGAAAGATGAAGATCAATTAATTTTCAACTGTTGAAAATTTAGATAGAAAAAATGCGCAGAAAGTATGTGGATACAGAGCCTACGAAAGATAAAGAGGATGTAGATTTTTTTTCAAACTTGGAGGAAGATCAGGTACATGGTTGTTAAAGCATATCCACCAAATCTAATAGGAATAATGAAATAATATTTTGCCTTTTTACAACAAATGTAAGGAGGAAATAAATTTAACTCGTTTATACTATTTGATAATGGTTACCTTACAATAACATTAAGGATAGCCATGAAGACAGCAGCGAGAAGAAAAGCCCGATTTACCCACCCAACAACAATAAGGTTACTCCTTATAAACTGCACAATGTCATCACATACACTCATTTTCAGTGGCAATACAATATGCTAGACGAACCACGAGAGTCTGTTCATGAGGTTGTCGTGCGAAACAACGAAGAGGAAGAAGGTGTGGAGGTGAGTAATGTGTGCGTAAGAAAGGAATTGCAAGTCTTAATATTGGTAATGTACAACCGTACCAAGTTGCCGTACTTGCCCTAGTAATTTTACTAAATAATTTCAAAACCTTTTGACTTTGTACGCATTGTACCGCGACTAACTTTTGCTCCTTAATCTCAATGTCTAGTTTTTTCCATGTTTGCTAAATTTGCACGCATTTGGGGGATTAAGAGTCTTCAATGTTCAAAGACAATTTTGATGTACAAATTATGTGGGGGTAGTCTCCAAGTTGCGAAGATGGAAGAATGCATGTATATTGCATTGAACCATCATATTATACTCTCATATACCCTACTTTTTCGAAGTTCTGACCAATTCATGCAAACGGTCATAAGATTTTCTACCCTACAAAAGCCCATTGTTTTACTCAAATTGTTTGA